GGCATTAACACTTCACGTGATCTTGATTCCATCCCTCTGTTTATGCAGCCTAGAACTGTGTTGGCTTTTTTGGCAGCTGCAGCACACGGCTGGCTCATTTTTAAATGCTTTGTCCACTCGGACTCCAAGACCCCCCTCACTGTTATGGGAGAACCCAAAAGTTTTTCATCCAATCTAATTGCCTGTTTTGCTTTTCGTCCTGGGCGTTCGGCTCCATGCTGTAACAAAATCCATGGACTTATTTTGCAGTGGCGCCCAGCTCTTCGATTCATTGTTTGGATGTCATGGTCCAAACAGTGCCACAAATATTTTCAGAACTGACGTTCCCTCCTGTGGAGGTGGGCTCAATCCAACAGTGGAATAATGAAGAGTTCCCACGTGCTTTAAAACTGACTCTGTTCTATGCAGTCAGTCATGATTAATGAATGCATTTTGATAGGCAAATCTGAAACTATTGTTGTGCTTTCCCATTTGAAACTGCTAAATGGGTTTTGCCAAAGGGAGGTGGGTTGTCCCTCAGTTGGCAGGCTGCAGTTCATTTGTGAGTGGGATGGGATGTCGGCAGGCTGCAGTTCATTTGTGAGTAGGATGGTGAAAACAGATCTGTTTCTTTTGTCGATGGATGTCATGCACATAAGTTAAAATCCTCTTCTGTGAAGCACGTAGTTCAGCAGTGTATTGCCACCTACTACTTTCTTCTCAGCCTAGAATAAGAGAGTTGGAAGATCATCTAGTCCAACCCCCTGCCTGAGCAGGGGACCCTTTACTATTTCAGACAGATGTTCATCCAATCTCTTCTTTAAAACCCTCCAATGATGGAGCACCACAACTTTTAAATACGAGTGTTCCACTGGTTTATTGTTCTGATTCCATCCATTGCTTCTTGTTCTGCCTTGCGGTGTTTTTCTCTCTCCTTTGAATGACTTAGCTATTGACTTTGGGCCCTTGTGCTGTTAATTATGTGGCCATCAAAGCATTAGCTCAGAGAGAACCCAAATCCTGAGCAGGACTAAATAGACTAAGAAGAAGGACTAAATTTGAAACGTTGTGAGAAAAGCTGCAAAGAACTGAAACTGCCCTCCGAGGCTCCCTCAGTGTTATAAACAGGAAGCCTCCAAAGATAGCAAGAATTCTTGACCGTGTTTTGAAGTAATCCAGTTTGGCATCTGTAGAGGAAAGCTCGTATCAGAGTATTAGATTTGGGATCTAGAATTTCAGAGTGGCGCTACAGAACTGGAAGACAACATGAAATGTTGGAATGTTGAAACTTGAAATGTTGAAGTGGGATTGAGTTACCTTCTCCCAATGGTTTCTTCCTGTCAAATTTGGTCTGACTGGTTGGACATGTTATGGGACTGTCAGCCAAGGAATGTCTATGAGAATGGCTAGAAGAAGTGCCTTCTCTGCTGCAACGCTTGCTTTCTGGCACATTGTCTCTCAGAGATCAGGACAACCCCAACCTTGATGGCCTTTCACAAGGCCTTGAAGACCTGATTATGTGCCCATTTCCTGGCTGCATTGATGTCTATGATAGCACTAGCACTTAGACTTATATACTGCTTCACAATGCTTGTTCTGACCCAAGCCTCGTTCAAATCAAACAAACACAAAACATAGATAAAAGCAAAACCTTTTTAATGCGTCTCTGTAAATTCTGTTCATTTACAGCAAAGTGCTATTAAAACTAATTGTCCCAGATAAGAGCAAGCCCTGTCAACGTTGTGCAAGTCTGCCAAGAACACAAGATTAAGTACAAGGAAATATTCAAAGCCAAAAGTCTCTGAAAACAAACCAAGATAGACCGAACTTTCACGAGGACTTGAAGTGCAAGAACATCTTTGCTTCCTGCAAAAAATCCCACCTCTGAGGGCTGACTTTTATCCCTTAAGGGAGGGTCCATCACCTTGCAGCCTTACTCCCCAGTCGCCCATGCTGCTGCAGCTGCTCTTTCCTTCAAGCAGCCCTGCGCTCATGTGCACTTGGCACAGGCTCCTCGGGGACCTCTTCATCATTGCTGCTAGACTCCATAAGCTCTGAAGGTAGCACCCCACTCTCTGATATTCCTGGCCCCATCTCTGCATCACACGCAGGTCCCTCATCTGAGTCCTCACTCTCCGAGACCTCAGCTGTCCGCACCTGCCACCGGTGAACCACAACAGTGCTTTACAGCCCTCTCTAAGTGGTTTACAGAGTCAGCATATTGCCCCCAATAATCTGAGTCCTCATTTCACCAACCTCAGAAGGATGGAAGGCTGAGTCAACCTTGAGCCTGGTGGGATTCAACCTGCCAAACTGCTGTCAGACAGTGATCAGCAGAAGTAGTCTGCAGTATTCTAACCAGGGGTGGGATTCTACAAGTTTGCACCTATTCGCTAGAACCGGTTGTTAACATTCTAAGCAGTTTGGAGAACCGGTTGTTAGAAGAAATTACTGGCCTAATCCTGTACAGAAGGCAGGAAGGAAACATTCTGGTATTGCTTACAGAAACTGCCTCTCTGTTAACCCTTATTACATTCTTGGCAGGACTAGACTTCCCGTCTCAGGAACTTCTCTGGAGGTTTTTTTCCCTTCCTTTGCTGGTAATTTGCTTGTATGGAGTGACCATTTAAAGTTACAATGGCACTGAAAAAAGTGACTTATGACCATTTTTCACACTTACGACTATTGCAGCATCCCCATAGTCATGAGAGGCCAGGCGAGGAGATGTGTGCCTCGATGTGAGTGATATTGAATTGGCCACAACCAGTCAATAACATAACCACCAAGCCATGTCCACCCAGTCAGATGACCACCAAGCCATGCCCACCACCTAAGCCATGCCCACAGAACTGGTTGTTAAAAATTTTGAATCCCACCCCTCATTTTAATCACTGCGCCACCACAGCTCTTATGATGATGGAATTTTTTTCTCAGTGGGTGGATGGAGAGAGAGAGAGAGAGAGAGAGAGAGAGAGAGAGAGAGAGAGATTTGTACTATGTTGTAACAATTTTTAATTGTTTTATGATTGTTTGCCACCCAACATCACTTTCAAAATGGGGCATCATTTGGCAACTGTCTCTTTTAGCAACAGAAATTTTGGGCTCAATTGTGCTTGTAAATCCAGAGCTCCCTGTAATCTTTTGCGTAGCTTATTATAAGAAAAGATCTCTTCTTCAAGGGATTCCACTGGGTGATCACTCTTCATCTTCCCATTCTAACCTCTGTTAAACAATAGCAGGGGATTTCACTGCTTCACTGCTTCAACCGGTTGAACGGAATTTTGTGGAGTCAATGTAACCCCCATTAAATATGCCTTTTAAAAACTTGTGCTTTTCTTCCCCTCCAAACCCCTTCTATATCCCAGTAGAGATGTAGCTTGAAAAGTTCTCCCCTCTTTGGTTTAAATCATTTAATTTGTGGACTAGCAGGTCTTCTGTTTTCAATTCGAATAATGTATTTTACTTATGTGGATGTTTGAGAGTGAGAGAGTGGGAGGGAGAGGGAGGGAAGGATGGAGGGAGGGAGGGAGAGAGAGAGAGAACGAGAGAGAGGAAAAAACTGTGTTATTTGCTACTTGATTGGTTCAGTGTAACTTTTGGGGACATCTCCGCCTGATTTGTTTGATAATTAAAGCTTTTTGCAATGCGCTTTTCACCTCCCTCACTCCACCACCGATTCCCACGTGCCATTTTTCTCCCTTTCCTCAGCACCAAGATTGACTGAAGGTTCACACAAGTCATGGCTCAGAGGGGCAACCGTAAAAGCATGGCTGACTATTTTGACATGGTTTGTTTTGGAGTGACAACCTCTGAGAATTATCTCAGCTTTCCTTTTGATGGGGCCTAATTGAATTATTTTATTATACCGCATGTTTTAGTAGTGAGAGGTGAGGAGGGGTCACCTTGTCCCCCGAAACCGCAGCTAAAAGCGGTGCCAGTTGAACTTGTGCGAATAGAAGGCCTTGTGCGCTCACCACACGATAGTTTGGCAGTTCTGCCTATCAACGCATATGAAAGCATCTTCTGGCCTTAAGGGCTGCAGGATTCCTACGCAGAGAAAGCCTACCAGGCATCTTTCAAATCTGCCAACAGAGCCGGGTTTCCCAACGTTGACAACTTTAAAAGACAAGCGAACTTCAGGTCCCAGCATTCCCCAACCAGCCAGCCCCTCAAGAGCGCTGGGGTTTGCTTTCATATCTTATTTTATTTTATAACTCAATAATAAAAAATGTTACACTTGGAAGAGTGTTTGGGGTTTTGGAGATGAGAGTGCCATCCAGTTTGAGTGACTCTATGGGATTTCTGCTAAGTGGTCTGTGATGTGGTGTGTGTAAGTATGTATGTGTGTGTGTGTGTAGATAGATGGATGGATGGATGGATGGATTAGAGAGAGAGAGATGATAGATTGATGGATGGGTAGATTAGAGAGAGAGAGAGATGATAGATGGATGGATGGATGGATGGATGGATGGATGGATGGATGGATGGATAATAGATAGATAGATAGATAGATAGATAGATAGATAGATATTTAGATAGATAGATGATAGATAGATATTTAGATAGATAGATAGATAGATAGATAGATAGATAGATAGATAGATAGATAGATAGATAGATAGATAGATGCTAACATTACAGTATAAAGCAAATAATGCTTTATTAGGTTGGTTAAAGTCGCCTGACTCCAAGAAGCTCCTTGAAGTTTGGATGGCCTGGCTTATTCAAACTATTATTATATCAATCCAAGTTTCACAAACTTTTTGGGATTTGCACATCATTGGCTAAAAAAACATCCTTCTTTGGCCGAGAAGAACGAATACCCACAATTAGAATTCCTAATGCCTTTCTGAAAAAGATTGTTCCTTTCCCCATTCATTTCTTTTCCCGACTCAACAGGTTTTTTGTAAATGCTGATCTTCTTTCCCCAAGGAATCTTTCAAATTGCGTACTAATGTTGCGGTTTTCATTGCCTATTAGTAAAAAAGACAGCTCTCTATTCTCTTTTCTTCCCCACCCAGGACAAGACGACACTGGAGAACCTGACTCAACAGCTGGCAGTCAAACAGAATGAAGACGGGAAATTTAGCCACGCGATGATAGATTTCAACATGAGTGGTGACTCTGATGGTCAGTAGCCCAGCCTTTTGCCTTCTTTCCAGCCGTGCCTGGGCACACATTATCAGTGAAGAAACAACCTTCAGATCTTTGCTCCTTAAGCATGGAAACAAACATTAACTCAGCAAAAGTGGGGGCAGGATGCTTTCAATCTGTGGGTTCTTCTTCTTCTTCTTCTTCTTCTTCTTCTTCTTCTTCTTCTTCTTCTTCTTCTTCTTCTTCTTCTTCTCTTCCCTTCCTTCCTTCCTTCCTTCCTTCCTTCCTACCTTCCTTCCTTCCTACCTTCCTTCCTTCCTTCCTTCCTTCCTTCCTTCCTTCCTTCCTTCCTTCCTACCTTCCTACCTTCCTTCCTTCCTTCCTATCTTCCTTCCTTCCTTCCTTCCATCCTTCCTTCCTACCTTCCTACCTTCCTTCCTTCCTTCCTTCCTTCCTTCCTTCCTTCCTTGGCTGAGTCTGAACCCAGGCAAAAGACACTGTTTGGCACTGTAACATGACAAAGGAAGAAAAATAAACATAAATATTCTAGATCCATGATGGCGAACTTATGGCATGCGTGCCAGAAGTGGCATGCAGTGCCATTACTGCCAGTATGCGAGCCTTCGCCCAGAGCAGGTCTACATGCACGCATGCCGCTCGCCCACCATCTGATTGTCGGGTATCTGGCGTGCATGCACAGGAGTGCGGGGTGCGCGGGAAATGCATGTGCATGCGCAGAGATGTCTGGTGCATGGGGGGTCACTCACACATGTGCAGAGACATGTGGCACACGCAGGGGTCACTCACGCATGTGCAGAGTCACACGGCACAGGGGATCACACATGCATGCGCAGAGTCATGCAGCACACAGGGTCATGCGCACATGCGCAGGGGGTGGGGGGACCCACGCGCATTGCCTTCTGGGTGCTGGCACACGGGCACAAGCACGCACACAGTTCTCAGCACAGGAGACCCAAAAGGTTAGCTACCACTGGTCTAGATGTCTGTGGAAATTCTCAGACATCCAGGAGGTGGTGGGTTTCAAGTTTCTCAACTTTTCTTATCGGTTCAGTGTGAGTGCGCAGTGTTTGCAACTCACCTTCTGCTGCAAGCCCGGTGTGTAAAACAGCTGACACGCGGTAATCGGCTGTGCCGCGTGAAGCAGCTGAGGTTGGAAAACAGGAAATAAAGGTCACTATAGAGCCAAGGTGGGTGGGAGGGCCCAGAAGCTGATTGTCGGAGCGAACTGGTTAGCTCACAGATGATCGTTGGAGCTACCGGTTTGGGTGAACCGGGCCGAACCGGTAGAATATCACCACTGCATCCAAGTCATGGTTGTCCCAAAGGTGCTTTTTTTCAAGAGGCAACTGGAAAATGGTGGAGTTGAAGGACCCTTGATGCTCTCCGATCTTCCTTGTTTTTTTGTCATGCCTTCTGACTGCCAGTTGGTGTTCATGGATGTGTTCTGCCAGTCTTCTGCCTGTTTGTCTTCTGCCTGTTTGCAACAACCATAGTGGTTGTTGCAGTCCTTACATTGTAGGTTGTAGATGACTCCTGGTTTTTTTTTTCCCCTTCTGTCATTGCTGGGTCTTTTGGTTTTGCTTAGGACAAGGGTGTCAAACTCAAGGCCCATGGCCCACATCCGGCCCACAGGGTGTTTAGATCTGGCCCACAGGGCCGCCTTGGAAACAGTGAAGGACTGGCCTCCTGCAACCCTCCGCCAGCGAAAACGGAGCTCGGGAAGGCCCTCCTGAGCTCTGTTTTCACTGGCAGAGCGCTCGGGCCACCACAGTCCCCCCCAACACGAGTGAGGTCAAGCTGGCCACGCCCAACCTGGCCACACCCACCCATCCCCCAAGGTCAAATGCAATCCTGATGCAGCGCTCAATGAAATTGAGTTTGGCATCCCTGGCTTAGGTTATTTTGAAAGGAGGAGATGACTGCAAGGAACTTAAACCATTCCATTCTCCGCCATTCGGTCAGAACTAAAGAGGCTTCTTAGATGAGAAGCAATATATCTTCCAGGACAAACAAACGAAGTCCAGTTGCCTCTTGAAAAAAAAATCACCTTAAATCAGAGTCACTGAATTCATATGGAGGACTATTGAATTAGAAAAATGCATCGGGATTCTAGGAGCTTTGAAGGAGTCCAGTAGACTTCCAATAGATGGCCTTCATTATCAAGGATAATGGCTGTTGATCCCCATGTTTTGCTGAGCATCTGGGCTGTGATCTGGTGACCAGGCAACTGGTTCTTCTAGATCCAGAGGCAATAAGCCAAACAGTGAGTACAGGTAATCCTCGACTTGCAGCCACAATTGAGCCCACGATTTCTGTTGCTAAGCGAGACAGTTGCTAATTGAGTGCTTCATTTTACGACTTTGTTAGAAGTTCACAAAAGGGGATCACATGACTTTGGGACATTGCAACAGTCAAAAATACCTGCCAGTTGCCAAGAATCTGAATTTTGATCACGTGACCGCAGGGATGCTGCAATGGTCATAAGTGTGAAAACCGGTGATAAGTCACTTTTTTCAGTGCTGTTGTAATTTTGAACAGTCACTAAACAAATGATTTGTAAGTTGAGGACTTCCTGTATTCTGTGATGGCCCGGAGCGTGGCACAAAAGCAACAAAGTCACAAAAGTAGGTAAAGTCCCTTTAATACCTCCAACTTGGCCCCCAATGTCCAGTTATCATCAGCTGGAGAAAAAACTCTCCCAAGAACAGATTTTAAAGGGAAGAAATTCCGTCCTAACCCAAAGTATATATAAATTATAAATAAAAACCAACACAAACCATGCTGCAGCAATTAACGAGACAGGGCCAGATAAGGAATTGCAGACTTCAAAAGATAATGAGACACACACAGTTGGGAGGATGCCAGAATCCAGATAAGACTTGACAAACAAAGATAATTCATGCTTTGCTTCCAGCAACTTTGCCGTGTGCAGTTTGCCCTTTTAAACAGTCTTCCCAGCTGCAGCCAATGAAGGGGATCAGGGCCCTTTCCTCCCTCGTAAACCACACAACTCACATTGCTCCCTTATCCGTTCCTCCCTGCATGCCCTAGGATGAAGAGAGGGTGGGCCTGGGTCTTCCTCTGAATGCCAGAGCTGGACTGTGCCCTTCCCCAGTTTCCTCCACAGCCACCGGAGCCACACTCCCACTCCCTGTCAGCTGTTCCACCTCTCCCTTGGAATCTGATTCCAACAGGGGCATGACATATTCACTTACTCTTTGCAAGAACCAGGGTCTTCCCACGTTGTCCCTACACCCTATGGCTTTCATGGATGGGCCCAACCCTTTTTTGAAGACAGCTAAGCAAAGCTGATAGCGAATTCCCAAGTTTGATCATTACAAAATCAATAATTCTGAAGACATTTTCACAAATCCAGGTGGGATGAATCTCCCCTGGGATGTCAATGATGGGAGGAATAATACCATGAAATAATAGTTTTTTCCTTGCCTAATCTCTCTTTTCACCCATCTTTTTAGGAAGTGCGGGAGTCTCAGAATCTCGGATTTACCGAGAATCCAGAGGGCGTGGGAGCAACGAGCCACACATCAAGCGTCCGATGAATGCCTTCATGGTGTGGGCAAAAGACGAACGGCGGAAGATCCTGCAGGCTTTCCCTGACATGCACAACTCCAACATCAGCAAAATATTGGGTAAGGGAAGGAAACAGGGCTGCCAGATGTGTAGCTCTTAATGTATTCCTTTTCTTCGAGCATAAATGTATTTGCTAAAAAGCATTAATTTTCAGTATATTTGTGATAGAATTTTCAGTAGAATAGAGTACATTTTGGGGGACAAAATTCAAACTTTATCCTAATGTACAGTACGATGGCTTAGCAGTGATGGGCAGAAGGAACTAGCTGTGGTCTGCTTGCAGGAAAGCCAGTTTTGGTCAGTTCCACATTTCAGAATATGGTGCTTTTCTTCTGTGTCCAGGTGTCAGTTTCTCAGAAGTCCTGACCTTTAGCTGCTGCCACTGAATGCCAGATTGAACTGTAATTAGACCTCTCTCATCCAGGATCTGGATCGTGGATGAGAGGACCAAACTGGCATGTATAACGAAGATCTGATTGGGCTTAGAGGAGGGGGAATTGTCCTCTCAGAGATGGAGAGTGGAGCAGAGGTGTGCCTGTTATCTCCCAGAAAACTCTTCTGGCTTTCAGAGACATTGCATCTCAAATAACCAGAGGTGGAACCCGGGGTGGGATTCTCACGGTTTGGGCGAACCCCTTGTTCCGATGATCAGCTGGCTCCTAACCGGTTTGCTCTGACAAGCATGTGGGCTTACCCGCCCACCCCTGCTCTTTCCTGGGCTGTATGTCTTTTTGTTGGAGCACAGCTGATCCGCGTGGCAGAGGGGTTGGCCACACCTCAGCTGTTTTCTTCAGCTGCAGTTGAAGGTAAGTATTAGTTTTGTTTTAAACACAGAGCAGACTCATGCTCACTGAACCAGTTGTTATACCGGTTGAATCGCACCCCTTTGTGAGACCACGTTTGTAGAACTGGGCCTTGGGGAACAGATGGGGACAGTGCTACTGTCTCCGCTTCCCCATTGTGTAGAACATTGGAGACTTTTCTGCTAAAGTCATAGTCGTCGTCATCATCTCCCCAGGAATAATGGTCCAAATGTAATCTCAAGGTGGAACACAACCAGGTTTTCTTCCCTAAGGCCACTCATGCCATTCTCCCAATAGCGTGGGATGTTCTCCAAATAGCGCATGCCTATCTCTAAAATACAGGTTGTCCTCATTTTACAACAGTTCGTCCAAACGTGATTTATGACTGTTTTTCACACTTACAACCAGAAGTGGGATTCTATCGGTTCGGACCAGCTCCAACAAACAACTGGCAGCGAACCGGTTATTTCCATGATCATCGAACCAGTTGTTACACCGGTAGCATCCCACCACTGCTTTCGACCGTTACAATATCCCCTTGATCACATGGTCAAAATTTGGACATTTGGCAACTGGCATGTGTTTCTGATGGTGGCAGTGTCCTGGGGTCATGTGATCACCTCTTGTGACCTTCTGACATGCAGAGTCAAGGGGGAAGCCAGATTCACTTAACAACCATATTAGGAACTTAACAATTGCAGGGGTCCACTTAACAACTGTGGCAAGAAAGGTCACAAAATGGGTGAAAACTCACTTAACAACTGCCTGGCTTAGCATCAGAAATTTTGGGCTCCATTGGGATCGTAATTTGAGCACTACCTAAATTACACACCATTCTCAAAATAGTGTGCATTGTTCTCCAAATAGCGCATGTCCTTCTCCCAAGTGGCAGGCATCGTTCTGACGATGCTTCAGACAGCTTTGCAGACCTTCTGAAACCCTGCAAGAATGCTAAGTTCATTCTCCTCCAAACAATGTGCCACAATCAGATGCATATGTGAAGCTGTGAAAAAAAGAACTAAGGGGAAATTTCCTTACAGTGTTGTGACCCACCAGCAGCTAGCAGAGCTGGTGGCAGACTCGGACAGTGAGAAGGATGGGGAGGAACATGAGCCAGTCCTGGAGTCTGGGGAAGGCTCTGACAAGTGCTCTGTGTCGGAGGCAGAGATGGGGCCAGGGCCGTCTGACAGTTAGCAGCTGCCTTCGGAGTCAGAGATCAGTGGGGCAGAAGAACAGCTGGAGCCTGTTTCCAGTGTGCACATGAGCAGAGCTGCCAGGAGAAGGGAACAATTAAGGAATAAGGGCTGACTAGGGAGTAAAGACACAAGTGAACAGTGAATGGCCCCTCCCATAAGGAATAAAGAGGAGCGAAAGGGGAGTGTTTGCAGGAGACAGTTAGTTCAATTCAATAGGATGAAGATCTGTTCCTGACTCCTTGCCACGTATTGTCTGCTGCAGAGTGGCGTTTGGAAGATATCAGCCTGGCAACTCTCCTAGCCTGATAAAGGTCTGTAGTTGTGCAATCTCTTGAAAGACTGTTTTTCAGGACTTTGCTGGAGAGGAATTCATTGTAACATAAATAAAAGGAGTTGGCTTTGTGATTTTCGGAAGCCTAGATCAAAACAGTTAGAACGATTAATCAGTGGAATGACTTGCCTTGCAGAAGTTGTGGGTGCTGCAACATTGGAAGTTTTTAAGAAGAGATTACACAACCACTTGCCTGAAATGCTGTAGGGCTTCCTACCTATGCAGGAGGCTGGGCTAGAAGACCTCCAAGGTCCCTTCCAACTCTATTATTCTGTGTCCTGTAAAGAATGCAACCCATCTCTTGACAACTGCCTCCTAATTCTCAATTCAATCATTGGCACCGAGATGCAGATCAGCCTATTCCTCCTCAGAACCGCTGGCTTTTTATAAACCTTATAAACTCCCTGAATAATTATTTTTCAAAGAGTTTTGTTTTCTTTCTAATCTTCACATTCCAATGCATAATCCCAAATTCTCCCCAAGTATTATGTCAATATCTCCTACCAAATGCAAAATCCAGCCATTGAAGAGAAATGCTTTTAAGAGCGGGATTAGCCGTAGCTATTGATTTCATGCCAAACAGATTCACAGAATCCCGCATCCGAGCTCGATGGCAGGTCGGAGAGTTTTCAAACGGGGGCGCCTGAATTGATTAGATTCGTCAGAAGAAAGCGAGATAAGGCGAGAGTACATTTGTTTCGGGGATGATAAAAATGTATATATGCCAGCCAAGAGGATTTAAAACTGGTTATGGCCACAAGATTAGGCCCGTGATCCAAGAGGCAAACAGTTTGGTCCACTCTCATTTAAAGAACGTTCTTGATTAAACTTGCCGTACTCAAGTAATCGTCTTCTGAAATTGGTCCGAGCAGTGGGAGCGATCCGTCCCTCCCGTTTCCCCCAATTTATATATATATATATATAAAAGCACAAAGGAGTCTCAAGTTTTGCTTCAGTCTGAACTGATTGTTTTAGATAACAACCGCCAAGTGGTCGCGGCTAATTCACTCTGCTTAAAATAGGTGTTTGAACCAGACTGACATTTTGAATAAAAATGTCTCTGGAGGATCTGTGTTGACATTTTAAAGGGCTTCTAAGCATTTTATAATACCCTCCAAATCTGGTTTTAATAAACCATTTGAGCTGGATTTTTTTTTTAAAAAAAACCAAAAAACATAAGGAATCGTCTTTTACTGTTTCGCCCTAGATTTGGGCTGGGGAAATGAGGAGAAAGAATGCAACGGGAACTTCAAGGCATCTTTTTCTGATTAAATGTACAGTAGGTGGATTATAATGTGCAAATTCGTTCCAGATTCTAGCAGGGTTGACGGGCCTAGTCAGCTCTCAGCTTCCTCCTGTTGAAAGAGTGATGAGGTTTGCAAACATGGGAAGCGAGATTTCTTTTTTATTATGATTGTGATCGTTATTGGAACTTCAGTGTTGAAAAGGAAATTTCCTGCCTTTTCAGCAAGGAAAAAAAGGAAGGAAAAAAAGGAAGGAAGATAGCCTACACCTTATGACCACAGTTGAGCCCCAAATTTCTGTTGCTAACCGAAACAGTTGTTAAGTGAACTTTGCCTCATTTTATGACTTTTCTTGCCACTGTTGTTAGAATCACCGCAGTTGTTAGGATAGAAACAAGGTGGTTAAGTGAATTTTGGCTTCCTCGTTGACTTTGCTTGTCAAGAAGGTCGGAAAAGGTGGTCGCATGACCCCGGGACAATGCATCCGTCATAAATATGAGTCAGTTCAGTGGTGAGATGCTACCGGTTCACACCGGTTCATTCGAACCGGTGGTTAAAAAAAAAAAAAGCTTCCAATCAGCTGAGAGAAGGAAAACAAACCTCCCACGATCAGCTGAGAGGATAAAAGACCAAAAAGTGCATGTGAGAGTGGGAGGATCGCTCCTAGCTTTTCGTTTCTTCATCCTCTCAGCTGATTGGCTTGTTAGAGGGGCGCGCATTGTGGGTGTGTGCGTGTGCATGCACGATCACCCACCGAATCAGTAGCAACTAAGGTACGATCCCATTCAGTGGTGGGATTCAAAAATATTTACTACTGGTTCTGTGGGCGTGGCTTGGTGGGCGTGGCAGGGGAAGGATACTGCAAAATCCCCATTCCCTCCCCATCCCACTAACCTGCTTTCCAGCTCTGTTCTCCTGTGCAGGGCAACCAAAGAAGACCCAGCCGATCAGCTGGGACTCGGGAGGCAGAGAATAGATGGGGGCGGAGCCAGTCAGAGGTAGGATTTGCCGGTTCTCCGAACTACTCAAAATTTCCACTCCCGGTTCTCCAGAAGTGCTGAATGCCACCTCTGATCCCACTACTTGAGTCAGTTGCCAAGCCTCTGAATTTTGATTATGTGACTATGGGGAAGCTGAACGAGTCCTAAATGTGAAAAACAGTCACAAGTCACTTTTTTTGTGTGTTATTATAACTTTGAACGGTTGCTAAATGAACCATCGTAAGTCAAGGACTACCTATATCACAAAAGACTTTTCTGATCTGTCAAAAGCCAGTGGTTGATTTTTTTTTTCCCTAACTCAGCAGGGAAAAGTTGATAACTGGAAAGGTTGAGAGGCTCACCAATATTGGGGTCTTTTGTTTCCCAAGAAAGTTATTTTTCTTTCTTCTTTTCTTCTCGGCTTACATCAAACGTCGGAAGTACACACCGTGTGTTTTTCTGATGAAACACCACTCCACCAATCTCTATATGTTGCTTTCTTGTAAAACTGTGATTTGAAGAAAAAGGAAGTCTTTTTGCTGGACAGAGAATAACTGTCTTGCTTAGGAAATGGAAATTTTTTGGCTCAATTGTGGTCATCAGAGGAAAACGACCTGTACGGCTTTTTTGTAGGATTTAAGGTTGCTTTATTAATTTATTAACATTGCAACCTTAAGAAAACTAAGATCATGGCATCTGGCCCTCTCAATTCCTAGCAAATAGATGAGTAAGAAATGGAGGTAGTGACAGATTTTATTTTCCCGGGCTCCAAGATCATCGCAGATGGGGACTACAGCCAAGAAATTAAAAGACGTTTGCTCCTGAGGAGGAAAGCTATGGCAAATCTAGACAGCATCCTAAAAAGCAGAGACATCCCCCTGCCAACAAAAATAAGAATAGTCAAGGCTATGGTTTTCCCAGTTGCAATGTATGGCTGTGAAAGTTGGACCGTAAGGAAGGCTGAGTGCCAAAGAATGGAGGCCTTTGAACCCTGGTGCTGGAGAAGACTCCCGCGAGTCCCTTGGACTGCAAGGCGATCCAACTGATCAATCCTAGAGATCAACCCTGATTGGTCTTTAGAAGGCCAGATCCTGAAGATGAAACTCAAATACTTTGGCCACCTCATGAGAAGGAAGGACTCCCTGGAGAAGAGCTTAATGCTGGGAACGATTGAGGGCAATAGAAGAAGAAGGGGACGGCAGAGAATGAGGTGGCTGGATGGAGTCACTGAAGCAGTCGGCGTGAGCTTAAATGGATTCCAGAAGATGGTAGAGGACGGGAAGGTCTGGAGGAACGTTGTACATGGGGTCGCAATGGGCTGGACACGACTTTGCAACTAACAACAACAACAATGTTGCTTTGTTTTATACTAACTAGAGATGGTAGAAAAGGGGGATTTTATAACTTTTTAAAAACTAAGTACATCAATAAAACAAGTCATTCCTGTTCTGTGACCCAATCTTAATTTGATTCTCAGTAACTAATCCCTTAATATGTAGACTCCAGTTTAGCAGACGGGCAATGCAATAGACGGTACAGAAATTTGAATCACTATTGTTTAACAAATTAATCCATAATTATTGCACGCATGACATACATATTTTACATACATTAGGGTCCTTCTGTAAAATGTATGTGATGCATATAAATTTTAAATTTTACACCATGTAAATTCTACTTTAGTGGACATTTGGCTTGGACAGAAACTACTTCCCCAATAAATCCATAAAAAAGATCTTTTACTATAAAGATATAATTTTAACAGCTCTTCATGCATTAAAATCTAGAAAGGAGGATTTAACCACTTACTGTAATTACTTGCAGTGGTTTCAGTGTATTCTTATTTTCTAGGAATGCCTTTGGGGACCCAAAAGGATTTTTATATTTCATTTTGCAGTGCAACAGCCTTCCTTTTTGCTTTTTTTTTTTTTAACAAATAAAATAATGTAAAATAAAAGTTAAGCCAGGTGTCATAATACATTGACATTGTATATATAAGGATCCAGGAAATGTGGCATTTATATAGTTGTCGGAAATTTTGTCACAGATTTTCTGGTATGGAACCCTGTTTGCTAATAACTATCATCATTTTATGATTATTATTTCACATAAGACACTAAATCAGGGGTGGCCAACCTTTTGGACCTCAGGGACCACCAAACTCATAATTTTAAATCCCGTGGACCAGAGACCCTGGGAAAATCCCAAAAAAAAGTCTGCAGGAAAATTCCCCACCCCTTTTTCCTGCCGATTGATCATTCTTTATTTGGAATTGCAGGATACCGTCTCCAGCTCCATTCTCAGGGACAGAGGGAGAGAGGGGGGAGGGAGGGAGAGAGAGAGAGGGAGGGAGAGAGAGAGAAAGAGAGAGACTTTTGGCTTCATGCAAGGAAAACAGCAGAAGAATCAGAATTCTTTCTTTCTCTCCCCCAAATTCCGCCAGAAATTAGTCTTTGTGAGATTTGTTGTGGCAGCACAGCCTCTTGGAGCAGGAGGCCTTGCAGGGTCCCAAAGACTCATTTCTGGTGGAGTTTGGAGGAGAGAAAGAAAGACTTTTGCTGCTTTCCTTGCATGCAGCCAAAAGTAGAAGAAGAAAGAAGCAGAAAGAAGCAGCCTGGTGGCCAGGCCAGGCACATGGGGAAAGTGGGGAAAGTCCCCCCCCCTGCCCTTTCATCACTACCTCGTGTTGTTGGCAATGTAAGCGACACAAGCCTTGTGTTCCCACAGGCCATGTGGGCGGCGCATCCTTGTGTTCCCGCACAGCCTGGATTAATTGCTTTGGGGGTGCCATTTCTCTGCGGACCACCATTTCTTGCAGATCACCAGTGGTCCCCGGCCCACTGGTTGGCGACCACTGCACTAAAGCATAAACCAAGCAAGTGTCCTGGGCTCACACAATATTCTAAATCACACACAAAAAAATGTAAGCCAAATTGAAACAAACCAAGATTGAAACAACCCAAGCCTCACTGGCTGAGGAATTCTGGGACTTGAAGTCTGTACAGCTTAAAATTGCCAAGCTTGAGAAATAGTGATCTAGTCCTTGACTTACGACCATGACTGAGCTCCATATTTCTAAGCCAGACAGGGGTTGGACTAAACTGCTCAGCTAGACCCTTGTTAAGTGGATTTTGCCTCGTTTTATCCCCTTTCTGGCCACCGTTGTTAAGTGAATAACTGCAGTTGATAAGTTGGCAATATGGTTGTTAAGTGAATTTGCCTCCCTCACTGATTTTGCTTGTCAGATCACAAAAAGTGATCCCAGGATATCGCAACCATCATAAATAGGAGTCAGTTGCCAAGCATCTAAATTTCCATGGGAATGCTGCAATGGTCATAACAGTGAAAAACAGTCATAAATCACTTTTCTTCTGTTGTAGCTTCGAATGGTCATTAAAGGAACTGCTGTAACTCAGGGATTATCTGTATTAAACAGCCTCTCTAGAGTATCACATGAAAGAAATAGGCTCCCTGTGACATTTTACTGACAGGAATCTGGCAAGAATCTCCAGCCAATCTTTCCTTCCATTCATCACAGTTTCCCCAAAGAGACCGAGAGCCGCAAAGCATGACTAAGTAATATCCCACTGGATCATTTTTTTTCCCTTCCCTCTCTCAGCCTCCCACCCCAGATTTATTACCGTCAAGAGTCTTTTTTCCCTCCTTCCCTTTTTTAAAGAAACAATCGTCCACCCTGTTCCACCAGGCAAAAGAAACTGGCCAGCAAATGAATATTATTCATGCAATTGTAATGTTTTTTCTTTCTTTCTTTCAATATCGGCACGGTCCGATTTGCTCCTATAAAGGAAAAAGTGTTTTCCTTTCATTTGATTCACTTCACTTGAACGGTCACTAAACAAACTGTGCAATTTGAGGACTACTTGTACTTTTCCCATTGGCAATCTGAGCTGAGGTCATTATTTCCACCGCTCTGACTAGAAAAATGTGCAGAGAAGAGCAACCAGGATGATTAGGGGACTGGAGACTAAGGCATATGAAGAACGGTTGCAGGAACTTGGCTTGGCTAGTCTAGTAAAGAGAAGGACCAGGGGAGACATGATAGCAGTCTTCCAATATTTGAGGGGCTGCCACAGAGAGGAGGAAGGGGTCAAGCTATTCTCCAAAGCACCTGAAGGCCAGACAAGGAATAATGGATGGAAACTGATCAAGGAGAGATTCAACCTAGAAATAAGGAGAAAGTGTCTGACAGTGAGAACTATCAACTAATGGCAACAGCTTTGCCTTCAGAAGTTGTGGGAGCTTCATCACTGGAGGTTTTCAAGAAGAGACTGGACTGCCATCTGTCCAAAGTGGGGTAGGGTCTCCTGCTTGAGCTGGGGAGAGGGGGGGTTAGACTACATGACCTACAAGGTCCCCTTCCAACTCTGTTATTCAGCTAGACTGTTTGAAAGGAGGGTTGATTTTCCTGTCTTCTTTCCTTGATAGGGTCTCGTTGGAAAGCTATGACGAACCTTGAAAAACAGCCATACTACGAGGAGCAGGCTCGCCTCAGCAAGCAACACCTGGAGAAGTATCCGGACTACAAGTACAAGCCCAGGCCGAAGCGGACGTGCTTAGTCGATGGCAAGAAGTTACGGATCGGCGAATATAAGGCAATCATGAGGAATCGGCGTCAAGAGATGAGGCAATATTTCAATGTGGGGTATGATCCCTTTGCATCCCACAGCATTTAAATTCCATGGAAAGGGGCGGGAGGAGGTGGTGCGCATAATTTTTATGTGGCAAGTTCCAGGTTTTATGAGTCTTAGCAAAGTTTTCCCCATGCGGAACGATGGAATTGAAGAAGGTATACAGCAGGGGTCCCCAACTCCCAGGCTGCGGCCCAGTCCCAGGCCGAGGCCTCTTCGGAACCGGGCCACGGAAGTGGTGGGCGAGCACACTCACACACACATGCGTAGGAAGCTGCATTTGTGAAAGTGGTGCGTGCACGTGCACGAAACCATTTCCCCCTCCCCCACTGGCCCTCCATTTGCTCATCCAATGCTGCTTACGTACGATATGTATTTGGCTCGCGATAGAAACAAAAAATCATTTTCTGTGTTGAAATATTTGCGGAATTGATTCTCAACTACATCATTTACCAAGTACCTGGCAACAGGAGGTCCAAGCAATCATTATGATTAATAAGCATTAATAGTGAATTCCCCAAGGATGAATTTGGATCTGCCACTCCATCGGTTTCCTTCGGACGTCTGCACCAGCCATTACAGGTGCTCCGGTCACTTAGCAACCATTAACAGTTGCGATGGAGTGATGGAGCTCAAAATGGGGACTTACAACCAATATCTGAAGTTCTGATGGTCACCCCCCTCCCCCTACAGACATGTGACAGCAATTCAGATGCCTGGTAACACAACTGCATTTACTATTTTGCCAAAACAATTCTAAAACCCAGTCATGTGACTGCAGGATGCCACAAATGGCCATAAATGCAGCCATGTTGCAGAGTACGGTCATGTGACCATGGGGCGACGGCCAGTGGTGGGATTCAAAAAATTTTTAATACCAGTTCTGTGGGCGTGGCTTGGTGGGCATGGCTTGGTGGGCATGGCAGGGGAAGGATACTGCAAAATCCCCATTCCCTCCCCACCCCACTAACCTGCTTTCCAGCTCCGATCTCCTGTGCAGGGCAACCAAAGAAGACCCAGCCAATCAGCTGGGACTGGGGAGGCGGAGAATAAATGGGGGCAGGGCCAATCAGAGGTGGTGTTCACCGGTTCTCCGAACTACTCAAAATTGTTGCTACCAGTTCTCCAGAACTGGTCAGAACTGGCTGAATACCCCCTCTGGTGACGACCATCAGAACTTCAAATCCAGGTCCTAAGTCCTCTTTTTGAGGTAGGTCATAACTTTGAATGGTCATTAAGCAGTCGTTTCTAAGTTGTGGACCACCTGCCATTTTGCGGTTTCCTCTCAGCCTGCCGGTGTCTCCCTGTTATAGATGCATAATATCATGTCCACTGTATAACCTAACGGTCCTCCCATTGCCTTTCTGTGGATTCAGAATCCACAGGAATGAATGAAGCTTGTTTTCATATAATGCTCCATGGCAGTCAGTCCTCGATTTGCTACAGTTTATTTAGTGACCATTCAAAGTTGGGGGGGAAAAGTGACTTATGACTGTTTTTCACTCTTATGACCATTGCAGCATCCCTGTGGTCCCATGATCGGACGCTTAGCAACTGGTATGTATTTATGATGGTTGCGGTCACCCAGGGTCATGAGATCATCCCTTGTGGCCTCCTGACAAGCAAAGTCAATGGAGAAGCCAGATTCACTTAACAACTGAAGCGATTTCACTTAACAACTGGTGACAAGAAAAAGTTTGTAAAATGCGCCAAAATTCACCTAACAACCGCCTCACTCAGCAACAGATATGTTGGGCTCAATTAAGGTCATAAGTCAAGGACTACCTGAAGTAGCATGGCAAGACTGGGTGAGATTTGCTGGCTTGTGTGCCGTTACATAGAGGGACGTGGTGGCTCAGTGGCTAAGACACTGAGCTTGTCGATCAGAAAGGTTGGCGGTTCGGCGGTTCGAATCTCTAGCGCCACGTAACAGGATGAGCTCCTGTTACTTGTCCCAGCTTTTGCCAACCTAGCAGTTCGAAAGCATGTAAAAAATGCAAGTAGAAAAATAGGGACCACCTTGGTGGGAAGGTAACAGCATTCCGTGCACCTTCGGCATTTAGTCATGCTGACCACATGACCACGGAGACGTCTTCGGACAGCGCTGGCTCTTCAGCTTTGCAACGGAGATGAGCACCGCCCCCTAGAGCCGGAAACGACTAGCACGTATGTGCAAGGGGAATCTTTTACCTTTACCTTACCTCATGCCGCTACAGGACTCCATCTTGCTATCTCGATAAAATACACACTCTTCTGAAGTGAAGTGAATTCCAGCCCCATTTATTTATTGATGTATTTTTCTTTTGTATTTGAGGATTACACACCGGTTTCCATGTCTCCTGTCAAAATCAAATTGTGTTTACCTCTGGCTGGACCATGCCGAGTGTGTGTTTGGAACGATAGCTGCTTGTTTGGAGTTTGGCTAACGGGTGTCAGTAATGATGAGTGGAGATGAATTTGTCCAGTAGCTGATAAGTGTCGGAAGGCAGATTTTTTTCTAAACAAGTGACAGTGTGTGTTGTAATAGTAAGCAGATTTTTCAGCCCAGAAATCTGAGCCGCTTAACCCTGTGGTGTTGGCAATTCGAATGATCCCCCCCCCCCCCCCCGCCATGTACAATGAATCAAATACAGGGATGCCAGCCAAACCTTGGCATCAGGAGATTAAAGAGAGAGGGAGAGAGGGAGGGAGGATCTTTGGGAGAAAGGATACAAGACGACAAAGCCTCCCAAATTCCACTTATCTCCCCCGACACTGATGCTTGACAATGCAAGAAGAAGCGAAGGAACATCTTGCAAAGATTTAAAACGTTATTCAACTTCTTTACGGACTCTGCCAAGGAGTGGCCTGTCTCTGCGGTTAGAGAAAAACAATATCCCCTGGATAAGGTCTTTATCTAGCCGAAGCCTATTTGGGCTTTTTGGAAATGTTTGTCAAATTGTGCAATTATGCCTCTGGAAGCGGTGGTTAAGTTGAGAGCCCTTGGAAGGCAGTGGCTGTTAACAAGCACTTAGCCAGGTTGTTGCACTCAGCCGTAGGATCAGATTGTACAGCGGAGATCCTAATCTGTTGCAATTGGGACGTGTAAGTAAAACAACACAGCCAGCAACTTTCCACAATAGACGCGGGCGGGTTCCCAAAAAAATCAATCTTGCTCTACGTTAGCGGAGGCATTTCGGAATCCGAGAATCTCTTTCTTAGGATATGTTCTTAAGCCAAAGAAATATTTTCATACAGGGTGGGGGCCTTTAAAGTACATTTATCTAAGCCAGAAGTCCCCAAACCTGGCAACTTTAAGACTTGTGGACTTCAACTCCCAGAATTGCTGGTTGGAGAATTCTGGGAGTTGAAGTCCACAAGTCTTAAAGTTGCCAAGTTTGGGGACCCCTGATAGGCGGTTTCACGTCGCTTTTGATTTTAAGGACATTCCAGTCTTAAGTTCTCAGAGGTGGTAAAGCTTTATTAGGGCTGTTCGTGTCACCAAACCCACCTTCTGTGTGTATAGTATTCAATTTAACTTGACAAGCTTTCTAGACACAGGGATTTCCTTTTTTGTTTATTTTTATTTTATTTTATTAGCTGGTTGGTGTTTGTGGGGAACTTTTCAATCAGGCTTATTCTCCAGTTCAAACAGCAATGGATTACCAAAAGGAAGAAGTTCCGGTAAAAAAAAGAACAAAAACACGTCTTCCTTTCCCTTAGTCATGTTAACCTTCGCATCTACCTGAATATCTTTGAACAGTCATTAACTCATCATCATCCCTTAGAACAGGCGTGTCAAACTCAAAGAGTGAAGGACTGGCCTGCAGGGCCTCTGCCAGCAAAAACAGAGCTCGGGAGGGCCACAGGCCGCCCTTGCAAGCTCCGTTTTTGCTGGCGGATGGTTGCAGGAGGTCTTCGCAGCTGAAAACGGAGCTTGGGAGCCCATTTTCTTTGGCAGAGCCCTTGGGCCACCACAAGCGCCCCCGACATGAGTGATGTCCACCCTGGCCATGCCCACCTCAGCTCCCCGATGTCAAACAGAATCCTGATGCGGCCATCAATGAAATAGAATTTGATACAAAGCATTACAGAGGGTGTTTGATGCTGATGATGTTGTCATGAGGCTGGGGAAATACCTTGATGGGTGGCGTTATGGACAGATGACTGACTCTGGCGGCTGAGGGTTTTTCCGTGGACAGCTGGGGGTGGTGGTGTCATCGGGTTTACCCTTGGGAACGGGGCTTCACAGGAAGGGTGGCTGGGTGGATAATGGAGCTAGTGAGGGATTATAGGTGGCTGTAGGTGTAGGATGGGACTGCAATCGACCTCCAGAACTGCAGTGTGCAGAATGAGGGTCAGGCGGATCATAGGAGATAGGAGCAATTAGCAGGGGTGTGTGGCCACAACTATAAACAGCACTGGGAGGCAGACGCTCCCAGCGCTAACCTTGGTTGGCTTGCGGCCGTTCTTGCTGGGTGTGGAGCTCGTTGTTTGCAAATAAACCAGGCTTGAACCACCTGAGTTGGAAGAGTCAGCTTGTTTATTCTGGTGAATCCTTAACTACTAGAAGGTCAGCTGAGACCCTTGTCTTAGAATGTAGCTGTAAAAGCAAGCTGGCGTTTGTATCACCAACAACAGCAGAGGTCCATCCCAAGTTCCTTCTCATGTGATGAGAATCATGTTTATACATGTGATATACAGAGGGTTCTTGACTTACCCCCTATTTGTTTAGTGACAGTTTGAAGTAGCAACGGCATCGACAAAAGTGACTTATGGCTGCTTTTCACACTTATATGACCCTTGCAACATCCCCATAGTCACACGATCAAAATTCAGGTCCTTGGCAACTGGTTCATCTCCTGGGCTCACCTGGACACCTTTAGTGCCTTTTTGACAAGCAAAGTCAATGGGGAAGCCAGGTTCACTTAACAGCCATGTTACTAACAACAACCATAGTGATTCACTTAATGACTATGGCCAAAAAAATTGTCATAACATAGGGCAAAACGCGCTTAACAACTATTGCTCCACC